TAAAATGGACAGGAATGGGTGAATTTAATTCAGATGACCATCAGGTATACTATTGCAGGCAAGAATCCCTCAGAAGAAATGCCGTAGCCTTCATAGTCAATAAAAGAGTAGGAAAAGCAGTACTGGGATACAATCTCCAAAATGACAGAATGATCTCAGTTCGAATCCGAGGCAAACCATTCAACATCACAGTAGTCCAAGCCTATGCCCCAACCACTGGTGCTGAAGAGGCTGAAGTTGACCGGTTCTATGAAGGCCTATAACACCTTCTAGAATTAACACCCAAAAATTATGTCCTCATCATCATGGGGGATAGGAATGCTAAAGTAGGAAGCCAAAAGATAACCAGAATAACAGGCAAGTTTGGCCTTGGAGTACAAAATGAAGTAGGGCACAGGCTGGTAGAATTTTGTCAAGCGAATACGATAGTCATAGCAAACACTCTTTTCCAACAACTCAAGAGACGACTCTACACATGGACATCACCAGACGGTCAACACAGAAATCAGATTGACTATGTGCTCTGCAGCCAAACATGGAGGAGCTCTATACAGTCACTAAAAACTAGACCAGGAGCTGACTGTGGCTCAGATCATGAGCTTCCCGTTGCAAAATTTAGGCTTAAATTGAAGAAAGTAGGGAAAAGCACTAGGCCGCTCAGGTATGACCTAAATCATATCCCTGATGAATATACAGTAGGGGTGACAAATAGATTTAAGGAACTAGATCTGATAGACAGAGTGCCTGAAGAACTATGGACAGAGGTTCGCAACATTGTACACGAGGTAGCAACTAAAACCATCCCAAAGAAAAAGAAATGCAAGAAAGCAAAATGGCTGTCTGAAGACGCTTTACAAATAGCTGAGGAAAGAAGGGAAGCGAAAGGCAAGGGAGAAAGAGAAAGATACACCCAATTGAATGCAGAATTCCAGAGAATAGCTAGAAGAGATAAGAAGGCCTTCTTAAATGAACAGTGCAAAGAAATAGAAGAAAACAATAGAATAGGGAGGACCAGAGATCTTTTCAAGAAAATTGGAGATATGAAGGGAACATTTCATGCAAAGATGGGCATCATAAACGACCAAAATGGCAGGAATCTAACGGAGGCAGAAGAGATTAAGAAGAGGTGGCAAGATTACACAGAGGAACTATACAAGAAAGAGCTCAACGTCCCTGATAACCACGATGGGGTGGTCACTGACCTTGAGCCAGACATCCTGGAATGTGAAGTCAAATGGGCTTTAGGAAGTCTGAGCAACAACAAAGCTAGTGGAGGTGACAGTATTCCAGTTGAGCTATTCAAAATCTTAAAAGACGATGCAGTAATAGTACTACACTCAATATGCCAGCAAATTTGGAAAACTCAGCAGTGGCCACAGGATTGGAAAAGGTCAGTTCACATTCCGATCCCAAAGAAGGGCAATGCCAAGGAATGTTCAAACTACTGCACCATTGCACTCATTTCACATGCTAGCTAAGTTATGCTCAAAATCCTACAAGCTAGGCTCCAGCAGTATGTGGACTGAGAACTACCAGAAGTACAGGCAGGATTTTGAAGAGTGAGAGGAACTAGAGATCAAATTGCCAATATACGCTGGATCACGGAGAAAGCTAGGGAGTTCCAGAAAAACATCTACTTCTGCTGCATTGACTATGCTAAAGCCTTTGACTGTGTGGATCACAACAAATCGTGGCAAGTTCTTAAAGAGATGGGAGTACCAGACCATCTTATTTGTCTCTTGAGAAACCTATATGTGGGTCAAGAAGCAACAGTGAGAACTGGACACGGAACCACTGATTGGTTCAAAATTGAGAAAGGAGTTTGGCAAGGCTGTATACTGTCCCCCTGTCTATTTAACTTATATGCAGAGCACATCATGAGAAAGGCGGAGTTAGATGAATCACCAGTTGGAATTAAGATTGCTGGGAGAAATAACAACCTCAGATATGCAGATGATACCACTCTCATGGCAGAAAGTGAAGAGGAACTAAAGAGCCTCTTGATGCAGGTGAAGGAGGAGAGTGCAAAAGTTGGCTTGAAACAAAACATTAAGAAAACTAAGGTCATGGCATCTGGTCCTCTCACTTCCTGGCAAATAGATGGGGAAGAAATGGAGGTAGTGACAGATTTTATTTTCCTCGGCTCCAAGATCACCGCAGATGGGGACTGCAGCCAAGAAACTGAAAGACGCTTGCTCCTGGGGAGGAAAGCTATGGCAAATCTAGACAGCATACTAAAAAGCAGAGACATCACCCTGCCAACAAAAGTGCATATAGTCAAGGCTATGGTTTTCCCAGTTGCGATGTATGGCTGTGAAAGTTGGACCATAAGGAAGGCTGAGTGCAAAAGGATTGAGGCCTTTGTATTGTGGTGCTGGAGGAGACTCCTGCGAGTCCCCTGGATCGCAAGGCGATCAAACTGGTCAGTCTTAGAGGAGATCAACCCTGACTGCTCTTTAGAAGATGAAACTCAAATACTGAAGATGAAACTCAAATACTTTGGCCACCTTATGAGAAGGAAGGACTTCCTGGAGAAGAGCCTAATGCTGGGAACAATAGATGGCAAAAGAAGAAGAGGACAGCAGAGGATGAGGTGGCTAGATGGAGTCACTGAAGCAGTTGGTGTGAGCTTAGGTGGACTCTGGGGGATAGAGGTGGACAGGAAGGCCTGGAGGAATGTTGTCCATGGGGCCGCGATGGGTTGGACACGACTTTGCAACTAACAACAACAACAACAACTAAGTCTCCTGATGGGCAGTCTGGGATGATCTTTCCTGAAGTTGGGAAAGGAAAAAAAGACATGGCTCGCAATCACCCTGGAAAAATCCTATTAGTTTTTCTTTGTTTCTCTCCTGTGATGGATGAATCAGCACAGAAAATACATGACCACTCTGTGATCTCCTTTTCTAGCTCTTCACAGCTATGAATTTAACAGATATGAGCTTGGGAGATTTGCATCATAATGGTCTCATACAACTATAAACTGATAATGGAAGTCTGGAAACTGCTTTGCAGAGAGGCTGTGATGCCCAAGGGTTGGCCCTCTGCAGCACCCATGCATTGGGTTGACATTTTCATCCAGCTGTCCACCACATAAATCCTGGCACCAGCATGGCTACAAGAATAAAATGGTCTCTGTGTCTCATGCCCTGATGCTAAGCACACTCACCTTGGAACATCTAGAAAGAAACATTTTGTTGCAGAAAAATGATAATACACTTCAAACGCAGAAATGAAATACTGCTTCCATAGACACACAGCTGACCACCCCCCAAGGGTCTTTTCTAAATGGGAAAAAATTCTGGGCATTCCACGCCCTTCCAACTTTAACCTCAGGAGGCCATGGCATGGAATGCAGTCTGTTTGCTACTTCCCTGATCCTGCACAAACAAACCAAGGCTGCAACAGACCCAGAAGTGTCACGCTGTCTTTTTCAGCACAACTTTTTGAGGTGAGGACGAGCAATAAAAATCATTAAGAAAACCTATGCCACTATCCTGTGAATCCCCTGAAAAAGCAAAAACAAAAAACCAGTTTGTCCCTTTGGTCCCTGAGAGATGGGAATGAATGAAGGCCACCAAAAGCTACATCCCATTTAAATCATGGGCACTTGAACTAAACCCGATCCACTGCTTGGAATGGAAACCCTTGGTCTACTTACACCCACTTTTCCTTCAAGGCATCCTGAGAATACCCCTCCCATGCAAATCAAGAGATAACATCTTGATAGCAATTTTATCAGGTTCCAGAAAAAATGTGCATGGAGGTACCTTGAGAAACATGGGTGGCTGGTGCACATGCTGTCATTCCTTGTGCCTCAAAATCAAGCTACACACAAACAGCCAGCATGCCAGTCAAGGGACATTCTGCATATACGGCTCATCTAAGCCTCAGCCACACTCATTTGGATCCAGCTCTAGCAATGCAGCCATCTACAAACAGCCCTGCAGCTGCAAAGGGACCAGATGAGCTCTGACTCTTTATTAGCATTCTGCCATAGCAAAGATCACTACAGCCTACCCTAGAGAACATAGCAACTCAGCATGAACTTACTCCACCCTGTTGAAATTAATGTAATATGGGATGCATTTATTGAATACATGTTTAAAAAATGGAAAGGATTTCAACCATCAAAAGAATCATTGCAGTTTTGGAAGGGGGAAATGTCCTAAAATAATTTTTGAATGAGGCTTTTTTCCCCTGTAACATGTATTCTATGGTTGCAGTGATGGGGTGCAGAGTATTATTAAGATTTAATTTAATTCTATGTGTAATGTTCCATGTTTTTATTTTAGCTCTAAGATTTTTTAGTTGTATTCTACATGGTATAACTAATTTTAAAATTTGTTTTAAGAAGAGAATAACAATAGAAATTTCATTCCAAGACCAAATTCTACAGGATGACCATATTTATTTATTTATTAAATTTCTATGCTGCCCCATTCGCCGAAGCCTCGGAGCGGCTCACAAAATTGACATGACTTGGTATAGTGCTCCTTGTGTTCCCCTACATGCAGCCTCAAAACAGAATTACTGTGGGCTGGATCCAACTTTACACATGCCTTAGACAGAGTTAAAGTAGACACACTGCTTTCACTGGAACTTTCACTGGATTCCACAATCAATCAATCTGGACCTAAGGAACTGAAGCACCTCAGAGTGTGCATTTTGCACATGCCTTTGGCTGACTTGCTGTGTCTAAGCAGGGAATGAAGCAGCTTGGAAGGAAGCTCAGGGAATGAGCAGTGGCTGACCAGTTTTACTAAAACAGGCAGCAATTTAAGAAAAAACTTATCCAAATTATGTCTTTTGGGACTGAAGCAAGATGAGCCACAAGCCAACAGAGGACTGCATTCATCTATACAGAAGGAAATGTGCTGTTTGTATCTCTGTGTTAAAGACTTAAAATGTCTTATTGCTTTCTCTTCAGCATTGCAAAAGGGCAATGCAACTGACTTTGCCAGCCATAAGGCACCTTTCACAGCCTTCCTTTCCACCCTTCACTCCCACTATCATCTGCAGCTTTCCGACCTCCTCCAATTCCTTTCACATTCCTATAAGCATTTTTTCATGACAGGCTTGGCTATAAAGCTATCCTAGGCATGGGGTAGGGGCACAGGAACTATACAGCAAGAAAAGCAGAATAAAAGGCTGGCCTTTGGAGAGTATCACGGCATAACCACCTCAAGCAGGTGATTGCTCTCAAGGGCTGCAATTCTGTGCAGGCTTCGCAAGCACTGTTGAATGCTGCGGGTGGGAGCATGTAGTGTGAGAGTAAACAAGGAGAGAAAATAAGGGGAGAGAAGAAATCGAGGGAAGCGGGGTTTGGGGTCTTGGCACACGTTATAATCACTCCCAAGCAAGATATTGCTTTCAAACAAAACTGGAACAATGGAAAACAGAGTAAGGTTTGTACAACACTCCCCACAAATCCAAGGATTGCTCCCATGCACTCAGAAAGGGAAAATAAAGCCTTTCAAATGACAAATCCAAACATAGAAAGTGAGCAGCTCGGGGCTCCTAGGACCACCTCCACAATCTCTCTTCAGCCCCAGGATACCAGCTTAAAGAAGCAAAGGGCCATTTCCTTTTGCTTCACGGGCATCCTCCACATAGCGCCGCCGGGCGCAGTTCCCCCATCCACGTCACTTACTTGAATGCTCCGCATCTATTTTCGATTCCTCCAACTCGTCAGCCAGGTCATCCCGGTGCACTTCGCGGAGCAACTGCGCAAGCTGCATCTCAGTGCGCCTTCCATAATGTTGCCACAGGAGATCAGTCAGCTTAGGGGAGGCGTTTGCATCTTGCAGCATTTTCCGGGAGAAACCCAGAATGTTCACCTCCTCCCTGAAAAGAGAGTCTAGACGGAGCTTCACTTCACTGAATTCTTTACTATTCAGTTTATCCAAGACAGCTGCGAGTTTCTCCTTTTCCATTTTTACATATTCCTGAACATCCTTGCTGCTCTCTCGTAAGACCGGTTTCAAACGCGGCTCAAGTATCACGGTGCGACTAGTTAACATGCTCCTGGAGAGATCCATCCTCAAACCCTGCAGCGCGTTACACAGAAGGGCACCCTCTCAGGAAGATGCTCAGGGGCGAAGATGAAACTTTTATCGGGTTAGTTTCCTTTTTCCAAGGAAAACAGCCGGATGTTTCCCAGCATGCCCTGCTGCACTGCCAGGAGAAGCTCATGGCCTCAGTGACGTTTGGGTATGGGTCGTTGAAGCCACTCCTTTCCCTGCCAGGCAGTGCTACGCGCTTTGCGCTGCCAGAAACCCTTTGCTCGCTGACGCTTTCCTACAGGGCGGGAAGGTGGTAGAGAGCAGAGGGCGACCCCGCTCACTGGTTCACTCCTTTTGCCATTATTTTCGCTATTATTCTTCGTGAATGTATCGTTTAGCTTAATGCACTGAATATTTATACAGGAAATAAACGCTTTTTAGAAAAGACGATGTTTCCCTGAAGCGAACAAGCCCTCTGATGAGGATATTTTTTTTTCCGCTTGAGGGCATTGCATAGTCCTGACATTCAGCAGAACTTTATGCACGTTTACTCAGAGGCAAGTCCCAGGGGACTTCGTTGTTCCAGGCACCTGCGTGAAGGATGGCAGGCACAGATTAATTCACAGGGTTTCACTCGAATGTACGAGGCTGCTGGTGCAATGAGGCTTTTCCACCCTCTCCTGCCACTTTTCTGGGCCTCCTGAAAAGCATCTCCTGGGGTGCTCGTGGATGCGCCAGAAAGGGGGAGGGGGAGTCTGCGGTAGAAGCGGGGTTTACCCCGTTCTCAGTAATTGTAGGTGTGTATTTTTTTATTGCAAACACTAAGAGCTCAGTAGCCAAAAATGCTGCATCACTGGCGTCACTTTGCCTTCCTCATTCTCATGTATTGCCATTCAGTATATATAAGGATGGGAGAACATACTCCAAAAACTGCACTTGTGTTAACAATAGTCAGCTTGAGAAGCTGTATCAAGAATATCCAAGTCTAGCAGACACATGGAATTGAGCGTATTTCTAAAGTGGGAAGAAAGGAATAACCTTCAATAGCAATGGCAACCTTTTCTTGGGTTACCCTTCCATCCCCTCCCTGACATGCTGCCCCTCACTCAAGGGAATGTTGCGCACGGGATCTTCAGCTGACTTTGATGTTCCGGACTACACTGGTTGTACTCCCACCACGCACACTCCTTCCTACCTCTTCAAAGCTGAATTCTGACTGTCTTTCTATCCAGCCCCTTTAAATTACTTCAGGTAAAAAGACTTATCTGCCACAAGGTCCTAATCTGCTTTTCATGTTGTTATTGAAAAACGCACACATTCCTTAGTGCATTTTTTGAAAACTTTTGCAATATCTCACCATGACATCTCATACTTCCAGTATGTGGACTGGCACAGTATCCCATGTGGCAAGGACTTCTGAAAGCTACTGAGCTATGCAAGACTTGATATGGGGACTTTGTGCTTTGTTCAACAGAGACATCCACAGAAACAACCATAGACTAAATGCCTCCACCCTGGTCTCTGGTGGAGCAGGGAGAATTGCCCCAGCATAAGAATGCAAAAGGTGAGTTCTGCCCTGGGGAAAATTAAATTTTGCACTTGGGGCATCAAGAGATCCAAGGTCATATTCTTTTTATGGTAACAACATACCCACACAGTATTAAAAAGAATCATAAAACTAGAATTTAATTTGATAAGGTATGAAAGAACTCAGATTGTAAAAACATACTTGTAAGATGGGACAGTGTCAAAGACTAATACTTGAATTGCAAATATGTTTAGAATACATCTGGAATTTTTATATGTATATGTTTATAATAATTTTTTGATAAAATATTGTGTTTTTAAAACATGAATTGCTTTAGAAAGTGCAATGTATCTTTAGAAATGTTGCTTGGTGAGACAAGATACAAATGAGCTAAACATATTTTATAGACTCTAAAGTGGGCATAAGAAAGATTTTAAACATGCAACAAGGAGCAACCCTTTCAAGTCTAAAGCCTCCCCTCCCCTATCAGTGTAGATCCAAGGGTGTGTGTCAGCTTGTGTGTGCGTGTGCATGCAAATGTGTGTGCCTGCTGGCCCTTTAGGCAACCTCACATGCAGCCCTCTGGGTAGAACACATTGCCCATCTCTGCTTTAGAGCATCAGCTCCTTTGGAAATAACATGCTCATTTTCGTCTTCTGCTTTCACTTTCCCTAGAACGTTTGCCTTCTTCAGAGCTGAGGACAACACTTCATGCATCTGATGCATGAATGCTTATGCCATAATAGATTAGTCTTTAAGATGCCACAAACCTGCTGTTTTTCCTGCATTGGACTAACACGGCTACTCCTTGAGAAGCTGCCACATGTTGTGTATTTCTGGGCAGCTCCCCTACTATTATGTTCATTTAGTAAAATGCTCTAATTTAGGGGTGGCCACCATCTTGCGCCTAATATTTCTCCTCTACTGGACTTTAGAATTACCCTCTTACAAACATTTGTTTATAACCTGATGTCTAACAGGATGACGGGGCTTAGAGAGATGCTGCCTCAGTCAGAAAACATGTTTTCTTACTTTGCACAGTGCATCAGCCACTAGGTGCCTCTACACGGCTATAGTTGATGCTGGGCAAAGTTGCACAAATAAGCAGCAATATAGGAAAGTACACAGTTTGTTTGACCCAAATGGATATGTTTTTATTTATTAGATTTATATCCTGCCTTTTCTTTTTAAAAATAAATTCAAAGCAGCTTACAACATTCTCCTCCTGTTCTCAGCCTTATCCTGTAACCCGACACCACACTGGCTCTTGGTAAATAATTACCAAAGGATGGGAAGGGTGTGCCCCCATATTCAGAGGTAGAAAGTAGATTCAAAGTTAAGACTCAAAATCTCTCTCACACAATCCTCCCTCCAGAGTTCCACCTGGAACTCAGGCTAGGATTCCCATATCCACTAGATTGGATTCCTCATAACAAGAATGGACTCACTCTATTTCCTAGGGATTTTCATCAAACTTTATTCCCCATTTCCTTCCCAGAGCAGAAGCCAAGAGGATTCTACTCATTCAGCTTACCAAAGTGCACTGTCCCTGCCAAAGCAGTTTCCTGGCCTCTGAAGTCACCCCCAAATCTAACCATAAGGGCCTTTAGTTTAATAGTGGCAAATTTAATGTCAGCTTGGGGTTTACATTTAGGCCTGGTCTGCACAAACAGCAGATGGCATGTAGTGGTTAAGAGTAAGCCAGGTTCAAATCCCCACTCAGCCATTACTTTGGCCAGTCATTTTCCTTCCCTTCCTCTCTCATTCATATCTAACTTTCCTCTTTGGGCTTTTGTAAGAATATGTCACCCTGAGCTCTTTGCAAGAAGAACAGAGTGTGACGTGCAATAAATAAATTGTATTTCATACATTTAAAGCTAACATGTCAGGGAGATGGCTAGGCTATATCCCTTCTCATTGACATGCATTCTCTCTGCATAGGGATTTTACTTTTATACCGATAAGCATTTGGTCATGTCAGCCTCATCTGTAGAAGCGCACTTACTGTAAGATACAGGCATACATTCTCCAGGAAACTAAGTTCATTCCTAGCACCACCCACTTGATTCATCATCCAAAAGATCCAACAACTGCCATCCCATGTACTATACCACCCACTCCATTTCCTATTCCCAAAACCTCACTAATGCAAGATATAATTAGGTGCAGCCTGTCACTTTGAAATATCCTTTGCAGGGAACCTGGATACCCGAGAGTTTCCTTCTCTCCACCCTGGATCCGCAGCTGCTCCAAGCACTCAAAAATTCAACTAAGAACACTCCACACATGTAAATAGGTAAAAAGACTTTCACAAAACAATGCTCAGCATTTTCCCTAGTGGACTCTCTAGGGCCTGGATAGAAAGCTGCATCAAAGAACTAAGAACTCCCCTGCAATCCACACCCGCCTCCTTCACAGGCAGTCACAAACTGGATGACATCCTAGCTTTCCCAGAATCAAGGCACACTACTGAGCTATATATAGGAAGTCCTGAGGCAGAACCAAGGGTCATTCACTTGATTTCTGCGCCTGCCCTAGGATGGTTGGTGCCTCTCTGATCTCTGGCTACTCACAGTCTGAACATTGCTGCCTCCCTTGAAAGTCATCTGATCTAGTAAGGTTTTTTCCATCTCCTTCGCTGTTCTTTAATCCTTTTTGCTTCTAGGTTCACAATTTATGCCTTTAGCTATTTTGCAGTAATAACCCAAACAGTGGGAGAGTCATAGTGATGTCTGAAGGATGCATCAGATAGATTTCTTAAAACAACCTGATGGATGTTCCAACTTCTTCAAAAAATGCATGGGAGAATGAGGGAGGGAGAAGGATCAGTGCTAAACAGTTCAGTTAGGCATATGAGACAGTGGCCTAACCTGCACAGTACGACTGTGTTTTGCAAAGGTGATCAAACATTAGCCCCCAATTCTGTATTAATTGCTGTGCCTTTCTGTAAGGACAATTCAGTTAGGGCAAAGAGTAGATAAAATAGAGGGTACATGTTTCAAGTTGCAGTGCAGCAGGCGATGCAATATACAAGTGCTTAGTTCCAGGATAAAAAGCAGGAGGTACAGAGTAAGATTTTCTCTCCTATCTGCCCTTGTATTCTTAGGTCCTAAGACTTGGGCGGTAGCACATGCTTATTCCTTTGAGTTGGAAGAGCTATGAATCTGGGGTAAAATTGCTGAGAAATCTAGACAAAGGCTTTTTTTCTTTTTGTCTCAGAATGCCAACACACACACACACACACACACACACACACTCGGAAGGTGTCCTTTATTTGACACTGCAATTTATATAATAAAGTGAGATGATGATGATGATGATGATGATATGCAATGCAGTGATGACCACTTCTTTAGATATATGTTTATATAAAGATTTAGACAAATAAGAACAGCTATTAGACATGATAGCTAAAATGCAACCACCATGTCCAGAGGCAGTATACCTCACAATGCTATTTGAGAATTTTCAGAGGCTAGTGCTGGAAACATAATACTGGACTTGACAGACTGTGCCCCGATCTACCAAGGCCATTTCTTATATTCTTTGTAGGGCACCAGGCTAATTTCCTGTCAGAATAATTCAACACAACTTCACCAGAAAGTGAAAATGTTTAGGTTTGGGTCACACTCTCATATGAAAACCATGAGCTCTATGTTTTAACATAGGATACACTTTGCAAAAGGCATTATAGTGCTTGACATAATGCAGCGTGAAACCAAGGTTACTATTTGAATATCCCATTCAGTTTCCAAATCTTTGGCTTTAGTTTTTCTTAGCTATGTCCAATTTGCTGTAGTTTGATAAACAATTCATGCAGAATAGCTACTTATTGCCCTGCCAAATAAGTAGCTCCCATCTTTGAAATTAAGACACGGTCAACCCAATACAATAAATCAAGCTTTTTTTCCCCCTGAAAAGGAAGTTTTAATTTATATAATATTTCTTTCTATGTGTGCATCAGGGCTGCAACTTTAAGCAGTTATTTAGCTAGATTAATAAGTTAAAAACACTTTAGCATACTAAAACCACATCTCCAATTAATTGGCTGATACATTCAAACACATCAGTATTTATTTCAGAATGTCTATATTGCCCCTTTCTGTAAACAATTATTCTAGGTGAAGCAGAGATTATAAGCACCATCTTAGAAGATAGATTTCTCTTTTACTAATGCTGAGGAAAGAATGCCTCTCTTGAAATGGTGCCTGCTGCAACATATGCATGCACCTTATTTTTTAAAAAATATATTTTTCTTCTAAGCTGTAGTTTTAGTAATATGTGAATATGAAAATATTGCAGCATTTTAATCAATAACAATTTATTTAATAAGTCAACTGATAGTACATTTCTGTGCATGCTTATTCAGAAATAAGTCCTGCTGAATTCAGTGGACCAAACTGCCAAGTAAACCTACATAACATCACTGTCAATTTCATGGCACCATCATTCCATGACAGAAGCAGCACAACTCCTCAGCTAGGCCACCAAGACCAAGGATAAATGGAGATGGATGAAGAACCTGGGAAGCCATAATGGGGCCAAAGAAAAAGCTAGAGTCAGGAACAAACCAGAGTCAGAAACTAAGCTGGCATACCAGGAATAGAGGCAGAAACAAAGTCAAGGACAGGCAAGAATCCAAACACAAATGAAAACACTCCCTGGGTTGACAATAGCAAGCACAGAGACTTATGCTGTTACAGCAAACCAAGGTGGCTTTGTATTTCCTGTGACTCCCAGTTGGTCTGCAGGCTCACACTGTGGGGTCTTATCCTGCAAGCACTGGCAGATCTGGTACCAATGCTGCAAGTAATTGCAAGATGGACCAGGCTACCTTCTGGACCAGACCATGAGGGAGAACTCCATCAGTCTGCAGGTCCTGACAATTGCACTCAGTGATGCAAAACTGTTAGGTTAGCTTCAGCAACAGAGAAAAAGCTGACATCTGGTACTCATACAATCTAAGATGCATTGATTGCTAGAAATCTGATAAGATCTCAATACTTTAAAAACTCAAAAGATAAAACCTGCCTTCGTATCACACCTTGGGTTCCATTACAATAGAACTGGTAAAAGTGCTGGAGCTCCATCCTCCTTTTTGTATTGTTACTGTAGAAATATGAAGTAAGAGGCGTATTGCCAAAGAAACACCAAATCAAAACCAACATTGACGTGTGGCCCGTGTATTGGACTGGTATTAAGAAACAGTGTGGTACAGAAGTAAGCATGAAGACCCAGGTTCAAGTCCTCATTTAACCATGAAACTCTCTGGGGGACCTTAGGCCACTCTTTACTGCTCAGCCTTGCCTACCTTATGTACTAGTTGGGAATGAAGAATCAGGCATGCTTGAGCTCTGTGAAGGAAGGGCAGAATAAGAATAAATAAAGGCAGTTCCCAGATCTGAAAAGGTTGAACAGCTGATGTAGAACTTCTCTACAGGAGACATTTATTGTGCACTCCTGACTTTCCATTCACAGCAGTTTTCAAGTAGTTTATACAATTTCATAATTGTCCAGGGTCTCTACAATGCTTTTACAACATTTCCACATTTAGAGCAGGGAAAGACTTAGCTACATGAGGCATATAACATGGTGCTTTACTGATGCTTTCTCTTTCCCAGGGTGGTGAAAGCATCAGTAAAGCACCACCACAGCACAGGGTGGTGCTGTGATATATTTTATTTATTTATTTAGCAGACTTATATGCCGCCCCATTTGCCTAAGCCTCAGGGCGGCTTACAACATAAATAAATATCAGTACAATAAAATGCAGTTGGAGACATCCTGGCCAAAGTTGTTAAAATCAATAAATAAAATCAACAATTAAAATGACGTTTAAATAAAAAGGTCTTGGCCTGGGGCCGAAAAGCAAATAACGATGATATAGAGTGGAGCTATAAAAATACACAAGGTTTCTGAAGCAAACAATGGAACCATCTAAAAAAACCCAACAACAACCAGATTTTCCTCTTGCTAAAAAAAGCCTTAAAAATGGCTGGGAAACACAGGAAAGGCTCTGGAGGACAACAACATTATGAAAAGATCCTGTAAATTTCCTTCAGTGAGGGATGATGGGCCAAAATGCCTTGTGCAGAGAAGCCTGGAAATGAGCTATTATCTGGCTATCATGGCAAAAGGTACTCAAACATGCATTTCTACAATCACATTGCCATATCACATTGTCACCATGTACCTGTGTAATGGAACATGTGGAAAGGCAGAAAGAGAAAAATCGCAGGAAAAACAATGTGTGGAGAACCTCCTGCCTCCCGCATGTACTACCTGGCCCCTAAGATCTGCTTCACAGGCCCTTCTGAAAGAGCCATCCTCCAAGGAAGTAAGGAGGATGGTGAGTAGAAGAGAGGCCTTCTCAGTAGTTGCACCCCACTTGTGGAGCAGCCTCTCAAAAGCATGTTAGCCTGGCACCTTCACTGCAATCTTTTGGCACCAGCCAAAAACAGTTTTATTCTCTAGGTATTATAACAACTGATTTTATTCAGATATTTTGCAAGCTGTGTTAATATGAATAGTTTTAAATTAATGTGCCCTCAGCTGTGCACTGTTTTGTTTTATTGATGTCTGTATATAGTACTTTTAAACTTTTACTGCTAATGCTGCAGAGCTCCATAATGGCAAGTTATAGTGAAACACAGCCATGTACTATATACAGAGAAGGGACAGAAAGAAATAGGCAGGCATCACTCGACCGGCTATATATCTGGTTTTCTCTTCTGAACTATTTATAGGGCATTTGTCAGCAGAGAGCCCAACAGCTGCTTTGCGGGATTAACATTCCTTTTCTACTTGCAATATGTCAAACTGAGTTGGCCCTGAGTGTGATTCCAGAGTGGGAGGAGGTAAAAGCAAGAAGCTCACCTCTTGCAAAGTCTGGTTGAGGAAAATTGGTTTGGGAGTTTATGTATTTAGCATATGGCTCCTGGGGTCACAACCAACCAGAAACTTCCACAGTACAAATCCCTGTTGCTATGAAATGTAATTCTATTTATTTTCAGTGGGACTTTGTGTAGAACTTGTACACAGTTGAATGGTGTCTTTATGTTAACTAGAGTGGCATGGAAATGTCTGCCATGTGTAATTTCCACTCCAGAAACCAAGTTATCTGTTGTCCTGTCCCTATATTACCCGGGTCTAGAAAAAGGCATTGTGACTGCTCCCGAATCTGCAGTTGCTCTGGGATTGCAAAGCAAAAGTGAAGCAGGTTTACCATGGCAGGGTAATCCAAGCTGGTACCATCCATCTGCCAAAGAAGCAGCAGCCACGGGGATCTTGCTTCCCTGTCTCTGATAGGAAAAAACAAACAGTTCCCAGTACCACTTGCTCTCAGAGTGCAGAAGCAACACGAAAGCACACTCTGGCCTCATCCATTAGCTGGAGGATTAAGGGCTGTTGGGTTCGGTGTGTTTTGTGTGTCCGTGTGTGTGTTATATTCCATTGTAAATTGACCTGAGGATCATATGATCCAAAGCCTGGATAGAAATCTTCTCAATAACTACACACATAATACTACATTTCTAATGTTTATCAGCTCCCAGAAACAATTTTTTATATTTTGTTTGAAATTCATCTATGCCAC